AGACCGGAATACCTCGTTCAGATCAGTCCAACTGACAGAGACCTGAGTACCTCTTTCAGGACAGTCCAACTCCCAGAGGCCTGAATACCCCTTTCAGGACGGTCCAACTTACAGAGTCATGAAAACGCCTTTCGGGACAGTCCAGCTAATAGATACTTGAATACACCTAACATGACAGACCAGCTTCAGGACAGTCCAATATTCAGAAACAGGCATACACCTTTCAGATATATGAATGTGAAGCCAAGAGGGGCGTGGCACAAACTGACTATGTTAGATTGTGATCTGATCATGCTAATCTTGTTCTGGGCGTTGCATGAACCGGTTTGAAACATGACGCTGTCCACTATGAAATAAGAACTATGCATTGGCTTTTTATTTGCGAAGTCTATGTTATGCTGAGTGATGTTCGATTTGTTGTGTAATTGACATTTAGCGATTAGCAAATCTTGACGTGAGCTCTGTTTAGATAATATACGCTTGTTTTGTTTTATTTTCTGCTAAGCGATGCTTGAATTTGTTTAAAATGTATTCATGTCCTTAGTGAACTGTGAACTCGTCTTAGACTATTAGCTCAATGTTGTAATCTAGTGCTGAGCTATTCGCGTATGTGTAAGTGTGGTTTAAAGTTGACGTTGTACAAAGTGTGAACTCTGCTGAAGTTGTGAGTGGATGTTAATCTAGTATTGAGCGATGTTAGCACTCATTTGTTTGACATAGGGAGCTTTATCAAGTGAGACATAAACTTATGTTAAGACTGAGATCGTTATGCCAGTCGCGTGCTGAGTAATGCTACATTTGTTTGAAATACGACCATACCACTCACACACAAAAGAAGTAAAAAAGTCTACCTTAGAGAACAATGGAACAAAACAAAATGTCCCTATTTAAACGCAAAGACTTTTTTTTACTACTATTATAGCAGGTATGGTAGCGAAGGAAAGGACCTTGATTTTTAGATCCGCTTTTGTGTTGGAACCGTGCCAGTTAGGAACTCCCCCCCCCCCCCCAGCCCCTCATGTTGTGGCCTGCCCTTACCTCTCCCAGCAAAGACTGTGGATCTGGCCCAGGGGATCCACATTGCGAGAGAAGCTATGGGGGACCGGTGGCGACCTTAAAAGCACAATCCTATTTTTGACCCAGACGGGACTCAAATGTTTAGCATGACTGATGTCGAACGCAGAAGAAGAAGAAGAAGAAGTGGCCTGCTCTTTCCAGTACCTCAGTGTTTGTGATTTTGTCCTGCCACTTAATGCCAAGTATTTTTCTTAGACATCGCATATGAAAACTATTTAGCCGTCACTCCTGGTGCAAATAGGTTGACTAAGCTTCACTGCCATAAAGCAGAATGCTGAGAATACACGCCTGATAGACAATGGTTTTTGTTTAAATTTTGAGCTTTCTGTTCTCCCGAACTCTCTTTGCCAATCTGCTCATTGCTGTTGCTTCCTTACCTATCCTGATGTTGATTTCTTGGTCCAGCGATAGATTACTATTCACCGTGGAACCCAGATAGGTAAAACGGTCTACTGTCTCAAGCTCTTCGCTGTCAATGTAGACTATAGGTCTATTATTAACACCTTGCACCATTACCTTTGTCTTCTTTTTGCTGACTGTTAGTCCAAATTCACTGCATGCATCAACAAAGGCAGATAGTAAACATTGCAGCTCCTCCTCTGAGTGAGTGGTTATTGCGGCATCATCTGCAAACAGCAGGTCTCTGATAAGTACCTTTCTTATCCTGGTTTTGGCCTTCAGCCTGCGAGCATTGTAAAGGCTACCGTCAGATAGAGAATGAACGAATAAACTACCAAAAGAAGTGAAAAGTATATTCCAAAGATGGGAGGAGCAAGTACACACCCCTGCTTCACACCAGTTTTGATTACAAACTCCTTCGATATCTTTGAATGTGACGCTTTATGTTTTACTGTATCAAAAGCTAGCAATGATTTATCCGTGTTGACATCCTGGCACATCGGTCCGACCCATTCGTCCTCCGATGCAGCAGCCATCTCAGTGTCGCAATACTCAATGAACTCAGTAGTAGTTGACTGGCATATCTTCTTTTTTTGCCATGCAGCCGATTTTTGCATGCGTGACTTCATTCAATACCCATGTCCCACAGCTAGCATTATTCTTTGGTAATCAAAATGCCTGCCTTTCCCATTATGAGTAAGCCAATAGATCTTCTTTCTAAAAGTTACCGTGATCGCAGCTTCATTCTGTCCCAGAAACTTCCCTTTTGACTATAGCTAAGAATCACCTGTCAAATTTCGCTCTCCGCTGTACAGACCATCTGTATACACTCGTGTGTTATCTCTGCTAGTATTTTCACTATTTAACTGTTGTACTTCCGAATCTGCAAATCTGAATCACCGTTCTCCGCATTCTTTGTCAAAGGGATGAGGACTTAGTCAAAAAAGGTTCTAACGAATGTTAAATCTTTTAACTAAGGGACTCAGAGGGTGCTTCAGAAAATATAACCTGCCGTCCTACGTGTAGAGTGGCTTGCTGCGCTACATAAGACTATGAACAGGAGCACATCGTGGATTTTCTATCCAGGATATTCAGGTGGGCGGGATAATGAGCAAACTGGTAGACTTGATGCTGCCACTCCTATGGGTGATGAGCTGCGTTGCCATAAAGCGGAAGTTGTGAAGGCTCTTTGGGATCAAATGGACAGTACAACAGAACAGACCAAGTATTCATACATTGACAGACTAGTTCAGCGAGGGGTCAGAATGGGATCTGGAAGATATTCAACACTGAGGGGAAAACATAGGCGGACTTTCAATCATGCTGTAACAGTATTAGCATATCTACTGTTCCTTGACTACTAAAGGGATGGAGAGAGAGAGAGAGAGGGGGGGGGGCACGTGAGGGAATATTCCGAGTGCAGAGATGTCAATTCTTAATTAATTTTAAAGTTTAGTCACGAAGGCTGTAGCCTGATGTTACTATCATAAATACGTCTCTCAACTACATATCTCACTGCCGACTGATGCTTATTTTCTTCCATTGTGACTACTTCTTCTACCAATACTACTACTTCTATTACTGTTCTTCTGCTGCTGCTGCGGTTACTGCTACCACCACCAGTACTTCTACTACTACTACTACTACTACTACTACTACTACTACTACTACTACTACTACTACTACTACTACTACTACTACTACTACTACTACTACTACTACTACTACTACTACTACTACTACTAATACTACTAATACTACTGCTACTGTTACACCATCACCACTAATACCAGAGCTTTTCTCGAGCGGCACCCAAAGGTAAGCAGTACAGGCACCTCTTTTTGTTTAAGCTCTAATTGTTTCAAGACTGGCGATTGTTTTCAAGGTTAACTTCGTGGTTTGTACCGGCACCTATGTTTGGGGACAAGGGTGGGAGCGTGGTTATTATTACTTGTGCTCTCATATCACGTTGCTTTCCTCTTCTTTTTCTTCTTCTCTTCCACCTTATACCTCATCGAAGTGTCGGGGGGAGATGTAACATTCGTTGATGAGCTATGTCAAGAGCACTTTTGAGACTGAAGTTCCATATTTTCTGAGGTCTTCCACTCGCTCTATACTCATTGTAACGTTTTACTAAAACTTTTAGTGTGGCAGATAGTACCAGGGCATTCTCGTTAGGTGTCAAAACCACTTCATTTGTTGTTCTTTGATGACCTTTAAGACTGGCTTTATTCCTATCATTCTTCTGATTTCGTATTCTGTCTTTCATTGTAACTCCTGCAGCTCTTCTAAGGCCTTTCATCTCCATTGTCATAATTTTACTTGCACTTTCCCTATAGTACTCTGGGGTATCTGCTTGTGTGTCAACAGGGGAGATAGTTGCCCCATTACTTGATTAGCTTTGGCACATCTGGAGCTAATTTCTGTCGGATGTGAAGATTACTGCCAAATACTTAGATTCCTCTGTTTGTGAGTGCATTCAGTGAGTGATGTGGTCAACATCACACCGGCCAGCTTTGCTTCTCGGGATATTACCTGTTACCCATTTTAGGCTAGTTCGATTGGAAGCTAAGGTCAATTATAACAAAAAAATCAGACTCGATTTGGATTCGAACCCAAGACCTTCGGCAAGTAAACGTCTCACCACTACACTGCCGAGGCTCACCTGAATGATTTAGCTGGGGTTCAACTATGATGTATGATCGAAAGTCCAGGTAGCACACTGGCTAACACACTTGTCTACATCCCTGTGATCATGGGTTCCAATGCCAATCTATATGGATCTTTTCGAAAGAGCCTTTAGAGAACTCCAGCCTAAAAATGAGCCCTAGGAAACAAATACTGATCGAATGCTGGTTGGACAATGAAAATATGCGAAGCAGCACCAGTAAGTAGGATATTTCAGGTATAATGAAGTTAAGGAATAATTTTCAGTTACAATCTCTAAGTACTCGGTGTTGTGTTGCAGCAGTTAGCTGAAAAGGTAATCATTAAAGTCTGCTTGGAACAGATCGAGGGAGTTTGGAATAAATCTTGTGTAGAAGTCCATGTTTAAAAAAACAAAAAAGGCACGGACAACGCCTGATACAAATAAAATGATAACAGAAAAAGTTAGTTGCATATCCTCTACAGAAGATAGCAGAACTAACCCCATCAATTTTGTGGCTGTTGTGATTTTTCTAGACAAATTTACGTCCAGTAGTTTGCCATTGCTTTCTGGACGGCCGGCTTCTCGATACCATTGTCGAAACCAATGCAAGGCCCGAAGCTGGGATCTAACCCGGCATTACAAAGCGCGCTCGCAAAACCTAAGTCACAGACGCAGATGATTAAAGAAAGGAAAAGTAAAAAGCCATACCTAAACAATAGCAAAACTAGAGCTGCCAAAGCAATACAGAGGCTAATGTTTGTTTTAGTATCCAGAAGCCATGAGTTGTTAACCCTTAGGCTCAGTATTATGGATAGCGCAACATTTTGGCCTTGATTCCATTGTAAATACCGTAAATCTTGGAGAAATGTGGCTTTTCTGCCTACCCCCGGGAGTGAACCTGGACCACAAGGAGTTAGTCACTCGATCATCGCGCAATCCGGTTTAGCCAACTACGCTAGAGAGCCGGGCTCAGGGGCTAATAAGAAAGTCAGGAGGTGAATAAGGGGAGATAAAAGGACATTTTTATATGACCGAGCAGAATAAGCA